CCCACTTCAAGCCAATGAGTTTTGTGAGGGCAGGACACCTTATCTATTTTGCCTGCCCAGTGGCGAGGATACCTAGAAGGTGCTCATTAAAGGGCTGTTGGTGAAATATTATGGATGAAATGATATCATGTCTGAAATTGTCCTTAAAATAGAACAGGAGGAAGGGAGATGAATAAAGATGATAGAAATGGAACAAGACTGGATAATTGTTGAAAGTGTTTGATAAATGGATGGGAATTCATTGTGTTATTCTATTTTTATGTGTATTAGACATCTTTCATACTAAAAGAACTTAATTAGCAAAAAGGAGGGAAAAATAGGCCATTGAAAAAAATTAGTGACTCAACGCTAATACTCTCCCTTGCTTTGACTCCCCATTTCTGTATTTCCTTTTTAAAATTTAATTTCAACCCTAATTTGGGGGAAAAGGAGGAACATAGGAGGATCAAGCAGTCAGAAACCTTGAAGTTTCTGTTCTTCCCTCTATCCTGGAGCTAAAAATTACACTGCAAGACATGTTTGCAAATTTTCTTTCTTTATGCAACAGGTAGCTATCTTGTTTGAAATAAGAGAGCTGTCATTCTTGAGTCATTTATGAAACTTCTGCTGGGAATTGATGGGTTTTTCTTTTTTTCATATTTGCTCAGAGTCACCCAGCGGTCTTGGAGCAGCTCAGTCTGACAACTGATAGAGTTGTTTCCAAAGCCACACATTTCCTGATTTGCATTTCTGCTGTCTGCTAAAGATGTGGCCTCTGGAAGGGGCAATGCCATGAAACTGCAATCTGTCCCCAGTGCTGGCAGCAGGCTGACATATCTGGCCACAGGATGTCCCAGGTACTCCTGTTGTCCATCAAGTGTGGGAAATGACCACCTCACATGTCCAAATGGGACTCCGTGTTATCAAATTCCTGGGCAGCTGTGTGAATAGGCATTTTCTTCCACTCTCCTGGAAAATAGAAATCAACTGCTCTGCACGTAGCAGAGGAGGTGTCCAGCAGGGAGGGAGGCAGATTCAGAGAGCACCTGCTAAGTGTCCGGCTGTTCCAAATGCTCCACATGCATTTCCTTATTGCCTCTTCACAGTAGGTTTCCAGGAGGCATATTTTACCCGCTGTATTGCAGATAAGGACTGCTGCTCAGAGAGGTTAGGTAACTTTCTTACTTTTTAAGTGATGAACGTGGGATTTGAACTCAGGTCTGATTTCAGTGGCTGAATCCTTTCTATGATGATTCCCAGTGCTTTCTGCAGATTTCTAATATCTCAGGGAGAGCAAGGGCTCTCTCCAGCACACTGGTGGGGAGAGAAATGAAGAGAAGATGGGGCTTTGTCTCCCACAACTCAATACAACCACATGGGCTTCATTGGAATTGCTTCTTTTTACTGACAAGCAATAGCTAAGATTTAGTGTGTCACTGAAAGTGCCAGACACTGTGCTTAGCAATTTATATAATCTACGTCATTTAATGCTCATGGCAGTCCTAAGAAATGGATGACATCACAATTCCTCATTTATCCAGGAGGAGACTGAGGCACAGAGAGGAGAAGAAACTTGCCAAAGGTAACACAATTAGTTTGGCCGGGAATTAACAAGGTGTAGTCTGACCCTGGAGCCCCATACACCTGATGCTACCAGATTTTATTTAAAGCAATGGCTAAGTTTTATTTATTTAGAGACGAAGTCTGTCTGTCACCCAAGCTGGAGTACAGTGGTGTGATCTTGGCTCACTGCAACCTCTGCCTCCTGGGTTCAAGCAATTCTCCTGTCTCAGCCTCCTGAGTAGCTGGAACTACTGGTGCACACCACCACACCTGGCTAATTTTTTATATTTTTAATAGAGATGAGGTTTTACCATGTTGACCAGGCTGGTCTCCAACTCCTGACCTCATGTGATCCACCCGCCTCAGCCTCCCAAAGTGCTGGGATTACAGGCATGAGCTGCCATGCCCAGCTGACGGTAAAGTTTTCACTACTCCTCAATGCCTCATTCAACAGTACTTTCTTTTATCCCTCCGCTCTCTATCCATCCCTCTTTTTCCTTCCCTTCTTTCCTTCTTTCCTGCCTTCCGTTCATTCTGTGCCAAACAGGCTCTGGCAATATGAACTTGAAACTAAATGATACAAAGTTCTTATGCCTAGGAGGCTCTTAGGATCTGGAAGAAAGCATCATTTATATGAGGGGAAATGTGAAAGAAGGACCATACTCTCCAGCCCAGAGGAGAGGACATTTCACAATCTGGCACACAAGCCTGCAGGTGACAAAAGGTGTATTGTCCTGAGATCACCCCTGAGGGGAAGATTTGAGACAGGATCCTGCTGACCTTCCAATCCCAGTCACTGCTCTTTCCCTACTCCTTGGCGTCTCCGAGAGAGTGCATTTGAGAGGTAACTAACTGAGTTATCAGGGCGACCCTGATGGAGGGAAATTGCTGGTGCTCTGTGATACTTCTTTTCATTCATTCACCTTCTCATTCTCTAGTTTGGACTTTTGCTTGGTTTGTGCACAAGCAGCTGCATTTCCCCCTTATCTTTGCAATAACACAGTCCTCAGAAGGGCAGGCCAGTACTTCGGTCTTCCGTTCTTTGCAGTAAATGTCACAACGTATCACCAGGTATTGTTTTGTTTAGGACAGTTTCATAATTAATGGAGCCCTCTGCTCTTGTTTAAATGACTTTTTGTTTTATTTTAATGAGAGCTTTGGGGCATCATCCCAGCCCCCTACATTCTCTTATCTTTTTTCTTTAATGCCCATGCTTAAACCTAGAGAATTGCCTCTTTTGTTCCTAGCTAGAAAACAATTATCAGAGATGAGGAAGGGAGAAAGCATCACTGGGGTTTCTCAATCTGAAGCTCTCTTAGGTTGTCCGCCTGTGGCATTGTGTTGTGACCAGATCTACAGCTTATTTAGCACCAGAAGTTTCTGCCACCCAAATCCCTGGGGAAGCATGAAGTCTCCTGGGCAAAGACTGTACCCAGGGTTGATCAGCCCTGACTACACCCCTGAGGTGGGATTAGAAAGTGGCCCCTTTGCTCCACAACCCAGGGTTCTGCTTTGTAGCCTCAGGGCTTACTTTGTTATATTGGTCACACAATTCCCAGGCAGCCTCTGTACTTCCAGTTCTGCTATCAGAAGGTATCAAGGGCTCCCGAGCCAAATCTAGCTTAACTTGGAAGTGTAGACTAGTAGATCTTATTAGATCTACTAAGAGGGAATCTAGAAGACCCCTGCCAACCTGAGCTTGATGTCAGGGATGTGGGGGAGCACATATTGGATCAGAGTTTCTTATGCCTTGCATAGCATGGCCAGCCTGCGGCTCTGGGCTTCTGTTTTCCCTCCCTGAACTTTCTTACTTCCTATGGCTTGCACTGGTCCTGCCCTGCCAATTCCTGCTCCATTACAGTGGTTTTAGCTCTCAAAAGGCAGGTTTGCTCCAACTCTCCAATGTCCCTGGTAGCTCTGCAACCCAGAGGGATGAATACCTTTCTCTCCAGGACATCTCATTTCTTAGAGAGGAAAAAATTTGATTTCATCTTCTCTAATCTAACTCTTCCTGAAAGATGCATAGCTGAATCAGAATGATTCCAAGCATTTCCTCTCACTTTCTTAATAGAAAACTGTACCATAAAGACACATGCACATGAATGTTCATTGCAGCACTAATCACAATAGCAAAGACATGGAATCAAGCTAAATGACCACCAGTGACAAATTGGATTTAAAGAAGTGATACATGTGTACCATGAAATACAATGAAGCCATAAAAAAGGATGAGATAATGTCTTTTGTGGGAACATGGAAGGAGCTGGAGGCAGTTATCTTTAACAGACTAAATCAGGAACAGAAAACCAAATACTGCATGTCCTCAGTTATGAGTTGGAGCTAAATGGTAAGAAGTCACGAAGACAAAGAGGCAAACAACAGACGCTGGGATCTACTTGGGGGTGGAGGGTGGGAGGAGGAAGAGGAGGAGCAATGATAACTGTTGGGTACTGGGCTTAATATCTGGGTGATGAAATAATCTACAACAAACCTTCATGACACAAGCTCACCTCTGTAACAAACCTTCGTGTGTATCCCCAAACCTACAATAAAAGTTAAAAAAGAAAACTGAACCTACTAGAAAGATGGGTTTCGTCACAACCCCTCTGAGCCACTTATTTGGCTCTGCTGATTCAGCCATGGCTTCTGATTCTTGTATGGCGCAGAGCCTTCCTGGCCTCTCCTGTCCCCACCTGGGAGGGAAGAAGCTATTCAGAAATTGACATTGAAATGAAAAGTTAATGTAAGGAAGACAGGGACAGAGCATCTTTTAGGTGGTGGTATAATTGTTGATTCTGTATAGATTCCTATTGAAGCCTGTCTTACTGAAAATAGCTTTATCTTGTTTACCCTCCAACTATCTGCTTTTCCCAGTCAAACAGCAGGCATCCCAACAGAGCTGAGTTACCAAAGGCCGCTGTTTACTCGCCTTCCAGAGGACAGAACAAGGGGAAAGAAAGTTTATGTTCCAACATCAAAGACTGAGGCTTTGTTTACTGAGATAATAAGCTGCTCTCAAGCAGGGAGTGAGTAATTTATTTGCCTGAATCTCTCCTCGAAAGCTAGAATAGCACCCAATGCTTAGTAGATGCTCAGTAAGTAGCTTATAATGGACTCATGCATAAATGTCAGGTACTTTTAATACTGTCAGTAATAAGCACCGTTGAGTAGCATCCTGTGAATATTAATTAAAAGAACCTAATGGTGTCATACAGATACTTTTGTTGCCATTTTAATTATAAAGAATCTGAAGAGGTTAAGTAACTTTCTGACCAGCAGGAAGTGAGAGAATGGCTGAGCAGGGGTTTGAACTCTGGTCTGTCTTCATTTCCACATTCTTGTGGGTTTGTTGCACGTCACTGTGACACCTGCTACATGATGTCACGTAGAGAGCTATGGAAACAGAGTTACTGCTTACTTTGTCACATAGAATTAGAGCAGACTTCACAGAGGAATTGTGATGTAAATAGCACGGTATGTCTGCACAGTGGAGGACAGGGGAGGCTTCCAGTCAGACAGCACAGCACACGCAAAGGCACAGCATGACCAAGGAGAAGCAGGACTGTGCAGATGGGACATGAGGAAGAGATTCAAAGTCAGGCAGGTAACAGGATGGAGGAAGATTAATTCAGGGAGGTTGGCTTGAGCCAGAGGGTAGGGGAGACAGGATTCTATCTGATCAGGGCAGCTTCCAGAGAATTCTATCATAAGCTAGTGATATGGTTTGGCTGTGTCCCCACTCAAATCTCATCTTGAATTGTAGCTCCCATCATTCCCGCATGTTGTGGGAGGGACCCTGTGGGAGGTAACTGAATCATGGCGGTGGGTTTTTTCCCATGCTGTTCTCGTGATAGTGAGTAAGTCTCATGAGATCTCGTGGCTCTGTAAAGGTGTGTCCCCTGCACAAGCCCTCTTGCCTGCTGCTATGTAAGACATGTTTTCTTCCCCTTAGTAAGTTTGCTGAGGCCTCCCCAGCCCTGTGGAACTGTGAATCAATTAAATCTCTTTATAAATTATCCCGTCTCAGGTATCTTTATCAGCAGTATAAGAACAGTATAATACAGCTCGTTTCATGGCTGGAAACATTCATTTGTCTTCCCAGAGTTTGTCAGTGATGAAAATTTCCCTGGGAAGAGTTCACTGGAAAGGAGACCTTCACCCCTTTGCCAAGAGTGCAGCACGTGTGTGGCTGCTTACAGTGCACATTATAGAGGAAAGTTTTAGTTCAGTTCCCTTAAGGAACTTTAAAAAATGCAACCAACTGGACCCTAGTAAGGTCCTTGGATTTCCTGCTATAAAACTTCTGCCTTTGATGTTCTCTTGTTAGTAGCCATGGGTGATCTGTGTAATTGAATGGACCATTCTCTCATTTTTACAGATTAAGGGAATACCATGAAGGGACTCTTTGGGATGCAAAGTCATAAACTTGACATTCTTTGTAACAGAACTGTATGTATGGCATGCTGCTGGATTGCGAGGCAATGGCTATGTTAAAGGGACTATCCCTGTGCCCGCTACATTGTCATTTGAATAGATCTACAATACGGTTTGGGACCACCAACCTCTCTGTTTTAAGCTCGATGGCCGTGGTGCGAAGTAGAGTTGGTTGCTATGAAATAGAACTTTACATTGTGGGTAAGATATGTGTCCATAATATGTTAAAGCTAACTTAGAGATCCTCTCAGCCTGAAACTCATTTTGTAGAGGAAGAAATCAAGGCTCAGAGAGGTGAAGTTGTATGCCCCTGGTCACACAGTAGCCCTTCCCTGTCCAATGCCATAGTCACTCATCATATGTTGCTATTAAGCATTTGAAATGAGGCCTGTCCAATTTGAATGTCTTTAGGTTTAAAATATACATGAGATTTCACTTTCTTACTATAAATATAAATTAGCTCCCTAGTATTTTTTTATATTGATTACATGTTGAAAAGATAATGTCTTGGATATATTAAGTTAAATAAAAATATATATTCTAACATGTTTAAAAATTAGCAAATGATAGTTGTACCTATTCACAGGGTACATAGTGGTGTTTTGATACATATAATGTGTAGATGTATAGTGATCACATTAGGGCAATTAGCATATCCATCATCTCAAATATTTATAATTTCTTAGTATTAGGAACATTCAATATCTTCCTTCAAGCTATTTGAAGCTATGTAGTATTTTATTGTTAACTCTAATCATCCTACAGTGATATAGAACACTAGAATTTGTGAATTCATAACTTTTAATAAATCTATTTCTATTCCTCCCTAAATAACACATTATCAACATTCATATCACCTATTTCTTTTTTTAATGTAGCTATTAGAAAACTTAAAATGACAGATGTGGCTTGTGTTCTGTTTCTCTAGGACAGTGCTCTTTTAGAACTTGGAGTAGAAATGGCTCTCCTGACTTTGATGTTGACCTGGTGTGGGTGAGGGGGTATCAAACAGGTCAGGGAAAGGCCGGAGAAAAGCAGGCCATTTAGGAGGCTGGGGGTGGCCATGGTCATCTGAACAGGATCCCATTACTCTGTCGGTTGTCCCTCTCCTGCCTCCCCACAGACCTTCCTTTTCTAATCCTCCAGCACCCTGAAGCTTGTTTCCTGTTTCCATGCTCAGTCCCCTTCACTGACTTGTTCTCTCTCCTCCCCACCTTATTTGATTTGTGACTGATCCTCCAGGCCTCACTGCAGTTCCTCACCTTCCTTCAGCAGCCTTCCCCACTTCTTCCCCACGGTGCATTTACGTGGAGAAAAATAATTTCAAAACAACACTTACTTTGAAATAAGGTAGAATGACCACTTACTAAAACAATGAAAACCTTGTTCACTCCTTTCCTTGCAATATCTTAACTCTACCTGCCCGAATCTGGATTCTAAAAGAATGCAGCGGAGTTTGTGGAAGGAAGACGTAGGCTGGTTATGGAAAACAGTTTTGAGTATTAAGTGTTACTAAACAGTCTGTACCACTGCTAGCTCCAGTTCCTTTCTGCGGCTCTTCTAGGCTCAAACTCTCCTAATGTAAAACAGGAATTCTTCATCCACTCATTCATTCTTCAAAGATTTAGCAGGCATTTACAGTTTCCCAGGCGCTGTGCTGGGCTCTGGAGATAGGATGCTGCTCATAGCAGACACGGTTTTACCACAGATGGAGGAGAAACATGCAGACAAACAGATCAGGTGTGGCTGGTGGCTTTCGGGTCACACGGATGTTGGTGGCCTCAGAGGGGGCTGGCATTTTACCACCCTGGCCAGGATGAAACTGCTGGTAGAATAAGAACCAACAGAAACCTGGAGTCCCATGGCATTCTGGACACTAAATAACTGTCTCATCTGGACTGTTGATGTCTATTGCTTACAATCAATTCCCACTATCCTGTCCTCTAATATCAGGGACGAAGTCCCATTCAGCCACTGGCTTCCTGGACTAAAATCACCTCGTCTGGACTCATCGCTGCGAAAGCACACACTGGGTCTCCATATTCCTTATTCCATGGAATGTCCCCACCTGCTCCTCCCTGGGATGCCACTCCCTGCCCCTTGGTAGCCCTCTGCATAGTATCTTAGGATTAGGACTGGGCATATGTGGAGGTGAAATTTTTCTTTCCATGTCGCTGCTCATAAATCATTGCTTTTTTTCCCCCAATAAAATTTTCTTTTGAAATCGAGAAATGCAATGTATGTTAAGAAAAATACAGAAAATATATGTGTGGTCTAAATAATAACTTTACTGCGAACCTAGTAAACTATCGCATAGGTCAAAAACTAGATTGTTGCCAGGCTGAAATATACCCTCTGTGCCTTCTGCCAGTCACATACCATCCCTCCCCATGGACAGAACTCAGCATGCTGACATTTAGAATAACCACATCTCTTTGATTTCTTTATCATTTTACGACTTTTATATGCATCTCAAAATGATGTAGATGAAGTTAGCCTTTTTTGAGTTCTGAACAAGTGTAATCATGTTGTATGTGTCTTTTTATATGTACCTCAGTATCCTATTTGAGAGACTCACTCATGTGATTGCCTATTTCTGAGCCTTATTCATTTTTGTGATAATTGAGTATCTCTTATCCAAAATGCTTGGGGCCAGAAGTGTTTCAGATTCTGATTTTTTTTTTTTTTTTTTTTTTTGCAGGCATGGGGAGGGTTGGAATATTTGTATTACACACTGAGGGAGCATCCCTAATCTGAAAATACAAAAATCCAAAATGCTCCAGTGAGCATGTCCTTTGAGCATTTTGTCAGTGCTCACAAGGTTTCAGATTTTGGAACACTTCAAGTTTCAAATTTTTGGATTGGGGTTCCTCAGTGACTGTAACTTTTCTGCTCTCTTGAGAATCTGCCCTCCTGCCTTGACCTGCTGACCTCTCTGCTTCTGCCTCATGGTCCTCACCTCCATCACAGACACTACCTCGTCCTAGAGGATATTTCACAGTGTGATTGATGATGCAGTCTTTTATTATGAAGAAGCTCAAACATATCCCAAATCTGTCGATGATCAATTTATGGCCAATGTTGCCGCTATACTCCATGCAGCCCTTCCCCCAATCATCTTAATGCAAATCCCAGCCATCATATTATTTCATTTATAAATATCTCAATATTTTTTTCCAAAAGTTAAGGACTCTTAAAAAACACATTCCAATATTATACACAGAAAAAATTTAAAAAGTAATTTGTTAATGAAGTTTGAAAATAAAGCTACATTAAGATTTTTTTATCTTTTAAAAAAATTGTCAGTTTGTTAGAATCAGGATTAAAATAAGATTCATAAATGCAATACAATGCTTTGTATTTCTCTTAAGTAGTTGTAATCTTAATTCTTATCTAAGTGTGTGCTCTCTCTTTCTCATTCTTTTCATCTTTCTACAATTTTAATCTCTCTTAATCAATATAATTTATTTCTTAGAGAAACAAGATCATTAGTGCTGAGAGTTCTTCACAGTTTGGATTTTTCTGCTACTTAACTTGTTCTCTTCCCTGTGTTTTCTTTAAATTGGAGGATGGATCTAGAGGTTTTTTTTTTTTTCACAATTCAGCTTGATTTTTGGCAAAAATTTTCCATGTACTTTGTTTTGCACTTTCTTCAGCAAGTAAATGTTGTCTGAGATGTTAGCAGCAAATGAAAATCAGTGTCTAGAATGATCCATCGTCCGTCATTGCAGTCTATCACCATGGGTTGCAAAATGGCAACATTCTAATTCTACTATTCCTTCATTTATCAGCTGAAATGCTTCATAAAGATACTTCCCTTTTTCAACCCTTTGGTTTCCCTGAAATAAATTCTTACAGGAAAGGAAAAATAAATCTTTGAGTCTTTCCTTTTATTATTTTCAGTTTTCAAAATAAATGAGATAGTTCTGTAACATACTCCAAAGGAGAACGAGGAGGTTTTTTCTTTTAGTAACTTCATGAACTCATGGTTAAGACATGTTTGAAATCTGTCCATCCACTGCAATTATTCTTAATCACTCCATCTATGACCAGTAGACATCTTTTAAGTGGACTCCTTGAGCTCTTTAGACCTTTCAATACAATCTTATTAGATATTCCAGCTTCTTTGGTTTCTAGTATGACATTATATCATCATATTCATCTAGAGGAATATTTAAGAGATCCCTGAGATTTTCTGGTTCCTTTCTTTATTTTGTTATGTGGGAGACTAGGTGCTAAAGATGCTCATTGCTACTGGGTTGGCTATTATTTTTAAGCCCTTTTGTTGGAGAGAGCCAGGACATAAAAATAAATCATGAGTTAATGTAGATCTTTATAAATCAAATTTAGAACTATCTAGTTTTTACATAATATCATTGATCTGACATCTGTTTCTTTTCTCTTATGCCAAGCATTGTATTTTTCAATGACACTGATATAATTATTTATTTTCTTTCACACATAGTTCACATACAATGGACTCAGAATAACAACATAACTATTGCCATCAAGGATGTGATTATTAACATCAATTTTAAGTTTTTTGAAGTTCTTTTTGTCCTCTGAGTATATACCACTAAAGATGCTTAGTAAAGTATCGGGTTTTGTTGGTTGGTTGGTTGGCTGGCTGGTATTTTTTTTGAGGTGGAGTTTCGCTCTCGTCGCCCAGGCTGGAGTGCAGTGGCATGCTCTTGGCTAACTTCAAGCTCCGCCTCCCGGGTTCAAGAAATTCTCCTGCCTCAACCTCCTGAGTGGCTAGGATTACAGGCACTGGCCACTACCTCCAGCTACTTTCTGTATTTTTAGTAGAGAGGAGGTTTCACCACATTGGCCAGGCTTGTCCTGAACTCCTGACCTCAGGTGATCCACCCACCTTGGCCTCCCAAAGGGCTGGGATTACAGGCATGAGCCACTGCGCCCGGCCGTAATGTACTGTGTTTTAAAGTTATTTGAAACATGTTCTGTTATGTGGTTATGCATCTGACTCAGTACACCCTTAGGGCCTATTGTTTTGTTTTGCTGCTGATTGCAGAGATTTTTTATTGTTAATTTTTTAAATTATGCAAACTACTAATGTGTTTCAAAATCATATCATAAGGCAGATCTGACAGAGACCTGTCTAAATATCCAGAGAAATTTAGCTTCTTTGTCCCCTTTCGCTGTTTCTTCCTTCCCCCAGAGAACCATTTTTAAGCTTTTGC